TAAGAGGGTTATAGTTTCAAATTACAAATCCATTAATGTTTTCCAAGACTTTTCTCACATCTGAAAGTATAACTGAGGAGGTAATATTTTTAATTAAAAATCTCATGAACCCACAGGAGAATCTCAACAAGCTGATGACYAATCTGCGGAGCACTCACCCCCATTTTGTGCGCTGTATCATCCCCAATGAGTCTAAAACACCTGGTAAGAACCCCAAGCAAAAATAGAGTCATGTAGCCATTATTGCCTATGTTTTATCATGAATTATMAAATAATTGTCTTATTGCTTAGGTGCCATGGAGCATGAACTGGTGCTTCACCARCTGCGCTGTAACGGCGTGCTGGAAGGGATCAGRATTTGCAGGAAGGGATTCCCCAGCAGAATCCTCTATGCTGATTTCAAACAGAGGTCAGTTTCCTTTCTGATTTCCATTCTGTTTCTTTCCACCAGAAGTTTTATGTCTTAACTATTTTAACACTTGGAGATATTTTTAACACCAGCTCTTTCTGATTATAGAGGGTACGAAAGGAAATGTTGGGTTGCATAACAAAAAGCAACATTCATGGCTAGCAGAATAAAAATTATTGATATAGCTAGCAAAAAAAAATGTTGAGAAATGAAGAGTGTCAGGGGTCTACACTGACTGCTGGGGGAATTGAGTATGGAAGTACAGTAGAGGTGCAGAAACCAGTTGATTACAAGATTCAYAAATGCAGTTGCAGATGTGGTSGCAACAGGTCCTGCGGTAAAAATTACAAACTCAGAGTTCTTTGGTCATTGCATCAACTGCACATTTCAGGGGAAGAGGCTTTTCTCCTATACACAAAGTGGCCAAGTTCCTTTCAACTAATTTTCTACAGCATGGGTTAAGTAAAAGGATATGGATTGAACTGACTGGAGATCAGTGTCCTCTTCACCWGTGACTGGATCCCTAAAGACAGGAAAGGTTTCCTTAATTTTGTCAGCAGTTTAAGATTTCATCAAAGATTTCATTTCAAAAAAGGGATGAAGCTCCAACTTCTTCAGCCTGATTCTGCTGCAAACACTGCTCTTGGTTTCAGTCAACAGAATAAACTTATTTTATGTTTTTATAAATAAACTTGTTTAATATGATTTATTTGACATTGTTTTCATTCCTATTTCTTCTAACTCCACAGATACAAGGTGCTTAATGCCAGTGCCATCCCYGAGGGACARTTCATCGATAGCAAGAAGGCTTCTGAGAAGCTCCTTGGGTCTATCGATGTGGACCACACCCAGTACAAATTTGGACACACCAAGGTACAAACACCCCCATTCACTGTTTGCCTCTGCCTTACTCTACCTGACAGTGATGTGCTGCAA